AGGGGGTCTTAAAGGCCGCGGCGTCGCCTCACCGGGGGCGCAGCCCGGAGCTCTCGGGACGCCGTTTTCCCTGTTTCCCGCCGAAGACTTGGTCCCCGGAGGGAGGCGGCCGCTTGTCCCCTCACACCTTGCCCGCAGAGCCTCACCTCCCAGCAAGGCCCGCCCGGGAAACCGGGAACAGCATGCAGGCTTGAAGAAAAACAACAGGAACAAGAATCAGCAGGACGTAGAAAGGCAAAAATATCGTAACAAAAAAAAAAAAAAAATCACGAGCAATTAGCAAAGGGTATTATTTATCAAGAGGAAAGGAGAAAACCAACAAAACTGTAGTGCAAATCAGGCACAAGTCCCAGCGCACTTACTACATGAATATTACGATTTGACAATCTGACACCAAAAAGGCTCCAAAACCCAGGACCAGGCGTTGAGGCACGACCCATTTCATTACCCAGGGCACATTCCCGGGTTCAGTTTCTGGCAGGGTACGCTCCCCTGTGAGGACCCGTGCGACCCACATCCCCTGCTGCCATGCCAGCCGGGCAGAGCACCGGCCGCCGCTCCCTGAAGCAGGGCCAACTTGCTCAGCTGAGAAACCCCAGCAGCCGTGGCTGTATCACACAGGAGGACTTGCTTCCAGGGCATAGATTTTTTTGTTCCCTCAAACACAAAGGCTCCACGTGACTCACCTTCATCAGGGAGAGCCTCGAGGAGCTCAGAAGCCTTGAGGAAGAAACCTTAGATTTGTCTTTAGCTGCTGTTTTTCCAGAGCTCAGTCACGTTCTTTGGATGCTACCAACACAGCAGAGCTATGACCGTGTGAAATAGGCTCAGATCTAGATTGCATTGCATTATTTTCCAGCCAAGACTCTAGGCCACGCTCTGGGTAGACTGTATCCTGTCGCCCTCAGACCTGAGCCACGAGGGCTCTACATGGACAGTGAACGCTCCTGCTACGGGCGAGACCCAGGGACCCTCAAACTGAAGTGTGCTTCACTTGACAAACAAGGTAACTTATAAATTACGCCCAGCATTTGAGGCAGACCTGGAATCCTACAGCTCCATTCTTATAGAAATGCAAGAGAGATTATTAAGTCTTGTTACAAACAGAATTGGAAGCTTCCCCCCCCCCAACAAGCTTACTTTGAGAAAAAGCCCATCTCTAGAAATCACTGTTGTTGCAGCATCAGGCCACCAAGAGGGTCGGGAGGCTAGGGCAAATGCCCTGTTACAGGAGAGGATAAGAGGACTGGGTCTGTTCAGAGTGGAAAAAAAGATGGCCATGGAGTAGGGAGGGCACCCAGTAGCAGCCAATACCTGCAGAGTAAAATGGCTGAATAAGGCTCCTTAATATTTTTGATCATTCTGAAACAACTGAATAAGGCACTTTAACAGAGGTACACAGCAGGAGGTCAAGAGGTCTTAAAGCAGGGGAAGTTCTGACACAACTGAAGGAAAACCTTTTCCATCATGAAAATGGCCAAGAGGTGTAGCGGGTTTCCCAGAGATGCTGTCCAGTCTCCATCCCTCCCCAAGGTCCCATGGGACAAAGACCTTAGTAACCTGCTCAGAGCTGACAGCTGACCCTGCTTTGAGGCTGAGGTTGGACTAGAGAGCTCCTGAGGTCCCTTCCGAGCAGAGTAACACTGAGTTACTGTATGGACTGCATAGCTTGGTGCAGCCTTCTGGCAGTCTTCTACCAGAACCGGTCCCCCTTTACAGATTATTTAAGAGAAGCACACTATGCTTACCAGGAGGGACAAGGCCTCTGTTCCTCTCTCGTTCTTTCTTTTCCTGTGGGAATTAAGAGTAACTAAAATGCAAAGAGACAACTCCATTCAAATTATTATGGAGGCTTTACGTGGGATTCATTGTATTATAAGAGTAACAAGTGAAACTATTGGCTTCGTACTCCTTTGGAAAGCTTACTGAAATACTGTAGTTACAAAAAAATCTTCCAGGATCTGGTAGCTTTCCTTTTAGATGAAATTGAAACAAGTCTAGTTTTCCTTATTAGAAAGGATGGAATACCGTACTGCACAAGAAAAAGCTTTGCAAAAACTATTTTGAAATTGGCCTCAAAGTGACCACAAAACTCCCACGCAGTTGCTTTTCCAGAATATTTATTCCAGAAGCATAAGTTATTCCAGTGAAGGAAGGGGAAGAGTAAATAAAGGAGAAACCAGAGAAGGAGGGGTAGGATTTACACTTAGAGATATACACACAAAGCCTTGACCTCAAAAGCACAGAGCCAGAATTTGAAACTATGTGGCTCCCCTCCCCCCATATTTAGCCTGTTTTCTGTAGGTATGTAATAAACATTTAAACAAATATATTTACCACTTAAAGAGTTTAGTTAACAAAGCCTTTTAACAACCCTATTTAATTGCAGCAGTAGAAAAAAAAAAGCAGAGGAGCAGAGTACATCCCTGATCTGATAATGAGCAAGGTATCATCCATAAGCTATCATTCATAAGAAATAGGCTACAGAATAAATACAGTAATACACCTCTGATAACTAAATATTCTAAATTAAGCAAGCGTACAAATGAAGTAATAGCAAAACAGTGTTAGTGCAGAAACACTGGCTCATTCTGGGGCGAGGCCGCCTTGCCCCACGAGACTGTCTTAACTCAATGACTTGCACTATTAGTCATAACATACCAAAGCTGGGAGACTTACTGTGTTGTGGAGCAGAATGAGTGACAGCTTGCTGCGCAACACAGGCTTTCTGTGGTTCCAATGCTCTGCACAACAGCTGAAATATATCAAGAACTTCAATTTTGCAAATGAGATCCCACTTGCTTTCATCGATGAATTATACGTGGGATTTGCAATGACGGGGCACACTTCCTGTGTGCATGCAGACACCTAGCTTTGCAACTCTGGGAGAAAAGCAAGACTGAATAGATTTTTGATCTGCTATTTAGTGAGGTTTTTTCCATAAGAGAAGGTAAAATAGGCATGCCTGCCTTTTCGCTACTTCTGACATGTCCAGATACAGACTCAATAGATCAAACAAGTATCATACTGGCAAATGCCCTTAAGAAATCTTCCATCCAAGTGAGCAATTCCTGTTGTTTCCTCTCAGCAGAAGAAACCACATGCAAGTGTTACTTTCAAAACCACATGGAAGTGTCAGGAGGGGGAGCTGTGTTTCAGTAGCCACAGAGAACAGAGGAAAGTGGATCTATTATTAGCCGCTTGCAGCTTCAGGTGAGAGGATGTCACTAAGTTTTCTTCTCAACAACTCTCTCCACACTTTTTTTGAATGCACAGCTACAAGTCAAACTCCACGTGCACCACCAGTCTCCACTTAATTTTTCAGTGCGTTTTCAAAGAGCTGCTTACATTTTTGACTGAACATTTCTCTCCTATGTCCTTTATTTCTCCTGTCCTATCTTTCCTCACTAACTCTACCTCATCCTCCCCTTTCACTTGCATTTTCAGTTGCCATTTCTTCTTCACTATAACCATTATAAAAGCTCTTAATTTGTAACTGCAAGTACAGAAATACATTTTCTGTTGAACTTCTGCATTTATTACAGGCATATGTTCACATGTGGAGCTCTTTTTTTCCACCGTTTCAGAGATTGCAAAAGAAAGTTTGAGCCATTATATTTGTAACCACATGTTGCTCAGGATAGCCTGATAACTGGGAACCCCAGTTAGTTTACTATGCAGTTCCTTCTGGTCAAGCTTGACTTATTCTGAATATCTTGTGCTTGTCCTAGCATGATGGTGTCAGACTCTCTCGGCACACCACAGAAATCACCTGAAGACTACTTTATTGGAAAAACACGTTCAAAGGCAACTGAAGCTTTAATTTACAGGCCAGCTTCTGCTCTCAGATGCACACTCTAAGTCTGTGTTGATTTCAAAGGGAACTGCTTTTATCAGGATAGCAGAAGAAAGAGACTTAGAAATTACCTTCAGGTAACATTTCTCAGACTTGCTTGTATAACCTGATGGAAG